AAAAAAACAGGGTGACCCACTTACTACTCGCCACCTTCTTTCTTTGTGGAAAAAACAATTGAGGCCAAAAGATGTGAGAAAATAGTCGTGAAAGTATGGTAGAAGTATTGATTGTTCTCGTATTTTTGTGTGGGATTGCAGTGTGCCGTGCTTTGTTTGAGTAGCCGAGCGTTGTTTTGGAACAGTTAAACGGCACATCAGAGAGTGGAAAGACACTGTGACCAAGGAGTCTGCGGGGAGGAGAGAGACAAGGGAAGGACCACTTTCTCACTGACAGAGATATGGTGGAAATAGAATTAAGTTCCACATTGAGGAACAATCATCCTTTCTATTGTTTAATGTCTCTCGTTTATAATAAATAAATATTCAAAGCCTTATCAAATTATTGCTTGCCATCTTAAAAGGAAAACAAAGAGCATTCAGATTAATGTACCTTCCACTGAAATGCATTATTACACTGACTGCAAAGTATAAGGTTATTAAGAGTTACCATCCAAACACCATATTTAATCAGCTATAATTATGATACACTAAATAAACAAAAACAAAATCATCCTAGAGTCATAGTGAGAAATTCATCATAACGGAGTCAGGTAAATAGACTAATGCACATTTAAATTAGAGAGCATTATTATCAGAATCAATTGGTTACTAGGTTTGTAATTAATAGCAAGCTTAATCGTGGAATAAAAATTGGAGGAGGTAAATTAGAAGTGGTAATTTGCTCTCTTCGTTCCAGTTTCTGAAGCTCACACAAAGGTTCCCGTAGCTTTTCTAAGTACCCCAGTGCAAAGAGCGGAGAGACGATGGCCAAAATAAGGAGGCGCGCTGAAATTGATTGCGTTGTAATTACTGTGTACTAATGAGTCACAACCTGAAAAGCAGCTTTTGTTTGGAATCACTACCTCCGTCCAGCACGCAGATACAAAACCATAAGCTCCCAAAGTGAACTGAAAAGACTGCAGGCTAGATGTTTTTTTAAACTGCAGTTTAAAAACTGTAGAGTCCAGCTCATTAAGAACTTGCTAATGCGCCGCTAATATCATTTAACATTTATATCCTGTGACTTTGCAAGATCCCCAGGCATCTGCTGTCTACTACGTACTATGTATAATTATAATAAAATGTATCTAATTCTGTTCTGTGATCTGTCTTCCTTTTTATGTGATGACTGTACAGAGAATATATATATATTTTAACGACAAGCCACACAATAACAAATATATTTCATTATTACAAACAGATAGATCAAACAGATGCCGATTCCTGATTCTAACAGATCAATAATAAAGATACCTGTAGAAAAAAACAACTAAAGAATAAAAGATCAATTGATTATCTATACACAAAAAGCACAACTGCAAATTATAACAGCGAGAGTAAAGACAAACAATAAAGGCTGTGTTTACTGTTCCATATCTGAGCAAAATTGATGGAAAGGCAGAACTGTGTCGGTTCAGCTGTTCTGTGTAGAGACGTGGGGGCGAAGAGATACTCAGGAGTCTCTCTCTCAAATTGTGGTAGGATGCACCAGGTACCATCAGTTTAATACAATACAGTACAATACAACCATTAATAATTTACCCATTTAAAATTATTAGTATCCACAGAAAGAGTGAAATGAAACAATGTAACAGTATGAAGTCATAGTGCATCTCTTTTTTTCTTCTTTATACCTCAACTCATTCTAGTAACACAGCTGGGTTTGTATGTGTATAAAATGGTGCAGTATTTGTTTGAAAAACCTTTTAAATGGGTATATTTTAAAAGCATTTTTTGATTCAGAGGTTTGGCGAGCCCTGCTCTCCGTTTCATCGTGCACACGCCTCCTTAGCTCTGCTGTATGTGTGTCCATTTCAGTGTGGCAGAAAGTGAAGCGAAGAGAAAGATTTGACTTGAAGACCACTAAATGATTAAGTGCAATAAATATTTCCTAACTGTGACATCAATATAAAACATCTATAAGAAGGTTAAAAAAAAACAAAAACGTTAACTGCATCTAACCTAAAAAGAGAAAGTGGCAGGGAGAAGCAGCACCAGCAGCAGGTGAGCTTTCTGCAGCATTTCACAGGCATTCGCTGCATTTTACAAGGATGACTGGATCTTTTTCTCTGCATATACGTAGTTTTTCTCTTTGTAAATAAATGTGTTCAATGCCTTTCTGCTTTCATCTGAGGTGTTGGTGCTGTGTGATATCCAGTGGCTCTGAATGCTCTATTTATCTTTGATTGACTCTACTGACTAAAAGGCCAGCTGACACAAAGTTTGCTAAGAAAATATACATTTCAAGGAAAACCCTCTATTCTTTATGTTGAAGGCTAATATTTAAACATAGAAGCTATTTTAAATTATTAAATTACCATGTCTTATCTTTAAAAGCTACAAAATAAATCCCTCAGGATTGAGAAAGTTCTTATCTGCTAGGTGGCAGATTGTGGAGTGACACAAAAAGTTCAGTCCTTCTTTTGATTCTATTTGTCACAGCCTATTTGCAGATTGTACACATGGGCTTTCCTTGCAAGAGTGTTGCTACACCATTAGCAAGTACTTTGCCTCTATCGCCTTATTAAAAACAATAAACAAACAAACAGTCTGGCCAGCTCTGGATCAAATCTACTGCTAATTTGAAATAGGCCAGGAGTTTTTGGCGTTCTTCTCTAGACAGATGACTTACTCTGGATGAGCTTTTTGAGCTCTCTGGTCTTGTTAAAGCCATAAATCAATTTTTATTTTATTTTATGGGTTTTTTTTGGGGTTTTTTTTGTGGTGGGTTGCCTGCACTGCTGGTTAGTATAATTTATGTTGTTTTACGCTGCCTTACCCTACCCTAGGGTTCATGAGTGTGCCCACTTGGGAACCACTGGTCTAGCCAACCCAGTGCACCCAACAATCTGTTGCACCAGGAACTCACATTAACGCAGCTGCATCATTTCAACAAAAAGGGAAAGAGAAAGAGTTCATTGTTTTTCATTTCCACATATTTATATATAAACATCTCTACTGATAAATGAAATTCCAAAATCTCAACATAGTTTGCAATCCTCATATGTAATAGTAGCAACATGGACATTCCCGCTTTTCTTTCTCTAATAATTATGCCATATTCTTTTCACGAAAGCAAAAAAAAAAAAAGGGAGAAAACACTTATCTGACCCGTGCATGGTGCTGACATATTTCAGCCGAATTAATGAATGCTTTATGCATCCTTATCAAGACAAAGGTTCTGGTTCTTGTTTTAATAAGATACGATCACCTTTTGGCAACCTCGATGATGTCAGAGTGCTCACCATGAATCTTGCACCTTAATTACTACCCTAAGATGAATGGACTGTTCACTCTCAGAAGAAAATGGAGAAGGAAGAAGCCCTGAGGCCACCATGCCAGCAGCTACCCACGACAATATGTGATTGACAGAAATAGACACCTGTTGATGTGGGCTCTTATTTAGCCAATTAATATGCTGTGGTCTACCATAAAATGTAACAAGAAGCAGCAAATACAGAAAGACATTCGAGTAAGAATGACTATATTATCTAGGTAGGAACCCCTTTTTTGTTCCCTAATAGCTTAGATTTAGATCAAGCTCCTGATCTTGGAATTCCAAATTCCTGTAAGTCACCCACTCACAAACATTGGATGAGATTTATATGCATCTCAGTTTGGTTTCTATTAGGGATGCACCGATACCGATACTGGTATCGGGTATCGGGGCCGATACTGTAAAATGTGTGTGTACTCATACTCGTAAAAGTTA